ACCTCGTCACAAGCAAAACATCTGGGAATTCCTAGAAGTGTTGCTAAATCTCTGCCACAGTATAATTTGTTTTTGTAATAAAAGTAAACTAAATCTACTAATAATTCATTACACATATTACACACAAAACATCCTGGATGCCATACTGCATTTTTAACTTTTTCCGTAATTACGGCAACATCGCCAGCACGGATCTCTTCTTCGCATTTATGACATTTCTGCGATTTAGCAATATCCACTGTTAATTCTTTCATAGTACTTTTAAGGTATTCTATATTTGGGGAATTTTGATCTGATTGTTTTGCTGTAGTAAGAGTTTCGTGAGGGAATACCTGATTTTGTAATTTTTCAGAACAAACAACTGTGGAAGGTGTTGTAAAACTGTTGACCTTTGCTTGATGATTTTTATCATTAGGAGAATGTAAATGCATTTGTGATGATGAAGCTGGTAAAGAAAATGGGTTTTCCGTTATTGTAGAAATTAATGATGCATTTTCACTTAATTTTTTCTTTCCACTTGTATTAGCAATTTGTGTAACATTTAAAGGATTTGAATGGACTGTCTTTAAATTAGGCTTTATTATTTCTTTTTCTGTCTTTACTGACTCAGAATCATTAGTATTCCCTTCTATTCTTTGAAATATTTCTTGTGATGGAATTATTCCAGAAGGAGTTTTCACAACAATAGGAACTGTAGTAACTGTTTTATCAGTTCCTTTATTAGCATTTACAGGTAAATTTATATTTTGTAATCCAGAACCGTTATTTCTGCATAAGTTATTTGAATCTAAACTTCTTGAGAAACTAGGAGTATTATATGGTGTTTTTCCTTGATTTTCTTGGTTACTATATTTATTTGTAAGTTTTTCTCGTATATACATTAAGTCTTTCTCATCCAATGTACTTCCAATTATATCATTTGCATTCACTATACTAGGTGGAAGCAAAGCATCTGCCAATATAGCTTCTGCATCATAAACATTGTCACTAATTGATTTTGAATGTGACAAAGATGTGGATGGATTTTTTAACATATCTTTGTATGCTTCTTTATAACATTCTGATGGATTCCTAGTAACTGCAGCATCATATAAAGGTTTTAAACTTTCAGTTGTTGGAACTTCTTTTGCAATATTTTGATTGTTACTACTAATTTTTGGGAAATCAATTGGGTGAACCCCTTTATTGTAAGGGGCATTTTTAATTGATTCTGATTTTACAATTCTACTATCATTGCTGATCATATTATACTTCTCCAAAATGGGTATATTCTGAATATTACTGCAATTACTTGGTGTCTCAAATGAATTATAAACTTCTTGTGTGTTTGCATTTTCATACAAATGTTTTTTGTATGAACTTTTTGGTGCAAAACTACTTGGTGTGCGTAATTGAACAAAGTTTGATTGTATGTTAGGTTTATTTTGTGGACTAAATTGTTGCATATCAGTTGCATTTACAGGTGTTACTAATGAACCATCAAATGGACGAGCACTTAATATCTGTAACATAAAAAAGTATTATATATAAATAAATTTTGATAAATAATTAAATATTTACTATAATAACATACCTTTGTCACTGTTCCCTGTCCCACATATTTTTTTATATTTTCTAAGTATTTTTCAAATTGTTTCTTTTCCTGATCACTTAATTTATCACAAATTTTATAATCTATGTCATGAAGAGGTAATTGTTTTTGTAATAGTTGTCTTCTCAAAGCTGCACCAAATGTTCCTTTAATGGGCAATTTTTCTGCAGGTAAAGCTCTCATATAGTCTACAGCAAGTTCTTTTGTTGTATCTGGCGGTACCCATTCAAATGCTTCCTCTGCATGTTCCTTTCCACTGTTTATATGTAATACTGAAAAAATTTTATAAGAAGATATTACAATATGGTATTTTATACATCACATTTTAATACTATTGATATTTACAAATGGGTTTTTTCTTATATTTTCTGGAGGTTCCAAATAGTAAATCAAATTGTGGGAAGTCTTCATCATCAACATCATGGTCATCTTTACTACATTTACAGTTTTTACAAATTTTTCTCCAAAAATGTAAATCTAAGCCTGGACATGCTGCTTTACAAATTACACAAGGTGATCCTGCACCAGCCTCATGTGCTAATCGGGGCTGAATAAAACAATTACAATATTTAAAAAATGATAAAAAATACTTTAT